ATCAAGCACAAGGAGTAATTAGATTGATAAGCAACTCAAGAATTGGATAATATAACTAGATAAGTTTAATACTGATCAGTTTTGATAACAGAAGTAAATCCTGACTCTAGAATCTGAGTTTTTGTATGAACCATTGGGACACTCAAGCTGTCCACCTTTCCATTGAAGGCTCACTTTGGTTCGTTTCGAATAGTTGTTCTCTCTTCTTTTTATTATTTCTCCTCCTATTTCAGGATAGGACAGCTCTACTCGTGTCTTATTTTGTATCGGGAAATTGCGAATATCAATTTCCCGCTGTTTTATTCAAGCACTTTTCCGCGATTGTAAATCGGTCGTTCTGATTTTTCACTTTGTGTTTTCAGTTGGTGCGAGAAAACTGAGCATGACAGGCTCCATTCGAAATTTTGAAAATTAAAACTTCACTCCAAAATTACGTATTTTCGTGTCCCTCAAGGTCAAACTTCCAGATATGACCGACTGGCACACTGTTGATTGGATCGGTGAATGAAAGGCTGACTGGATTAAAGCAGAGAAGTTCGGCTCATGTATGTATATAATATGAATGTAAGGCTGGCCGAATGAATGGCTGAATGATTCGACGAATCGATGGTTGCATGGGTTGCATGTCTGGAATGATTGACGAATGGCTGTATCAATTGCTGGATTTAACAATGAATGACTGGACGGAAAGATGGATGGATATTTGCGTTGAAGTGGGTGTTGAATCGATTGATGCGTAGATCAACAGATGGGTTACTCGAGAGACGAATAAATTGACTGCTTGGGTTTTTCAACAGATGAATTACTGGATAGATAGATAGATAGATAGATGGAACACTGGCTGGCTACATGGATACTTGGCCTACTAATGCTAGTTGCATGAGTACATGCTAATACTGTTATTTATGGATGATTGGATTATGCAGACCTAAATTACAAAAGAGGGCCTTCCGTTTAGTTACGGTGAGTGCACAAGCTGGATACGGCCATACCAGCGTTATAAAAATGCATATATATCAGCAATGACGTCATAAATCAGCATTGAATGCATCGTCGTAATGTTAATTTATCCTGGCCGTCCTTCCTCTACAATAGCGCTTATGGAGTTGTCGATAAATTGAACTTTGCGTAGCGATCTGCACCCCCTTATACAAGGTATAGAGCTCCTCAGGAGCGCGAAGCTTATTTTAGTTCTTATGTAGTTTATAGATTCTGGATAGCTCTCTTGTCTTTTACCATTATTTTTTCGGCTAATCGCTGCATCGTCCGCGTGGCTGTTGGAGCAGCGCCACCGGTGCATCCGAAAATTAGCGGGCAGAAGCTACTCTGCTCTACATTTAAAATTCTTTGCTGATATTTGTTTCGTGGTATTTGTATGCGCCTTTATGCAGTTTTCGCGATGTTTTGGCATGGGGGTTGAAAATTTTTACATCAAAGAAAGCGTGGCTGAATCGTGAACCCCAGAGTCCGTTTGCCTTAACGTCAAGTCGTGCCTCATCTTCAGTTGTAGTTGAATTGTTGACAAAGCTTTCGCCTTGCAACGGCTGAATTTTTAGCGCAATCTCGACGTCATGGCAAACCTCGTTCATGAGGTTGGCGAAAGTGTCTCTAATTTCATTGTTTCTTATGTGTGTGTAACCACACTTTGCACAGTGAAGCGCATGTGTCAAGTTAAAATTAGCAGCACATGCACATGTGAGTGGGGTTTTGGTCGGTTCCCATCCGTATCTTAAGTGAATAACATCTTTGAATTATGATTTATTCAGGTTGAAGTTGTATCTGCTGTGGTAAAGCATTGAGCCAGTTAGAGGCTCCCTTTTCAGAGGCCAGGTCGATTTCGTACTTATCTGTTTCATTTAAGGAGTTAACGAGGTTAAGTTTCTTTCAATTTGTTCTATCAGTTTTCAATTTTATGGTTTTCGTACATACTTTTTCTTGCTGTGTTACTGCTGTAACAGGATCTTGAGATTCCAGTACTAGTGATGTTTCCTTAGACCATTCTAGATAGCTTTCATGATCGGATGGCAGCTTGATGTTAACTCCGCCCATTTTAAGAGGTAAGGAATATATCTCACGGAACTGGGGGTTTAAAGTGTCTTTACTGGCTAGGTTAGGTAATAATTGTTCTTTTATAAAACTTTCACACATTTCTAAGTTTTCCATAGTGTTTTCGTTGTCCTGAGCTTTTCTTGAACTCCTGAGCTTTTCTTGAAAGCTTTTCTTGAACTCCTTTAGTATAGCAGGCATAAACGTTTTGATGAGAGGTTTTAGCGATTTTCGTTAATTTTTTCAAAACTTTGGTTTGCTCATTCTGTTGAAACTCGAGGGACTTTTTTCATTCAGATTCTGTTCCTATTACTGAACCAAGCACTCGGGCTCCTGCCTTTATAGTGATTCCTGTATTCGCGAAGATTTTCTGAGCTTCACCGAGTTTTTCATCCTTGACAATGAGTTGGCATTTGGATGCTTTCACGTGGTAGCCGAAAAATTTACCCAGTGATACAATTTTATCGAGGACGGTTGGTAGATTGCTTAATTCACCGACTGCGTTTCCGTCGTCTGCGTACCATTTCTGGGTTAAATCGTCTGCTGATAAAAGTTTTATGAGGGTTATTATGGCTAGACCGTACATGGCCATTGCTAGTGGATCCCCCTGTGTTGTCCCTTCTTGAGAGTAGATGTTTTTTTGTTAGAAAACAGTTTAGATGGATTGGAGTAGGAGTTCTTAATCGCTGTTAAAAGAGAAGGGCAGGTATTTTTGATGTTTTTCAATGCCAGCTTTCAGTTCAGCGAGTTGAAAGTGTTTTCGGCATCTATCAGTAAAACAGCATCGGTGGAAGTTTTGCTGTATTGATCTCTTAGCGTGTGGATTGCATATTCAATGCCACATTGTTGTCCTAGGCAGAGTTGGTAGTTCGAACCGAGCGACATGAGTTCGTTTTTTAGGAATTTGGTTTTTGTTCGCCCTATTATCCTACGCATAACTTCTCCTTCGCCTATGGGTCTTACTCCTGGATTCTTATCTAAGGATATTAATCTACATGCGTTATATGGTTCCATTACTTCTAGATTTAGTTCTTCGGTGGCCTATTGTTTGGCAATTTTAGCAATTATTTTTGAAATCTCAACTGATTGTTGCCCGAAGTGTGTTAAAATACGTCTCCATTCATTTGCTTCGAGGCCAGGTAGTACAGGCGATCCGTGCGTTCTCATGGCTGCCTTCTTGATATGTTGACTGTTTATCTGATCAAATATCGATGGATGGAAATGAATTGTTTCGTTTGAGACTGGTGTAACATACTTCTCAGCAATTGGTTAAGATGGTTGGTGCTTCTCTATGAGAGTCTGTTCTACTGTCTCACCTTTGAAGATCTCGTCGAGTGAAAGACCGCCTTTGGATGTGTCTGTTAGTTTTACAATTTTGTTTGATATTTTTCCAGTATTCATTAGTTTGTTGAACTGTTGTGCTTCAGTTTCAGTTTTTCTTATACTTCCTTTCAACAAGCGCATTTGCAGCCCTTCCCTTCGTTATATAGTCTATCCAGATCTCCGTCTTGCCATTGCTTAAGTCGCCTTGCTATTATTTTGGATAAAAATCCATCATTTTCGGACTTTCTTTGCACAGTAGTAAGTGTGGAAAAATCATTGCTGCGTGCATTGCGAATGTATTTTCGTTGTTTTCTATTGGGCTGTTTAAAGTTCTTTTGAGGGTTTCAATGAAGGTATAACCAACTTTATTTTTCGACAAGATCATAAAGACCGGTTTCCAGTTGACCACTTCGGTGTATTTTTTCCTGGTGGTTTCTATGAGTTCTGGACAGGGGTTTGTCCATGGGTATTTTTTTGTTCTAGGTTCTATAGTAAAACACTCTCCTGAGTTTTGTGAGTGTGGGGCAGTGGAAGGGTGAGGGTGCATTTGGGGGAGCGTGGTTGTAGCTAGGGTTGGGGTATTGCTTTCATGCTTGTCGTTAGCCGAATGAAATTGGGAGGTGCAGCGATGACAACTGAAATCCTCATAGTGAACACTGCTGCGGGCTAGGCCGCTGCATTTTACATGCATGTAGCCTGGGCAAGTGAAGCACCAAAAACCTCCACCTCGCAAGCTGTTTTTACAAATAAGGTAGTGTGTTTGAGTAGCCATTTTAGGAAGGACGGCGGTGTCAAGTTAGCGAGAGATTTTATGTATTTAATTTGCAAGAAAATTTGTAAAGAAATCACTACCGTAGAACGAGAAATGGATACCATCAGGGCAAATCATTTGAGGGGTTGGATTTAGGTTCAGGTTAGGTGAAACAATAACTGTATGGGGGTGTACAAATCTATTTATCAAGTTAAACAGGACATGGTTATGGATATAAATTTTGCAGTTTACTTCGGAATTATTACAGTTCTGAATTGTTTTGGGGATGATCATTGTCTTGGCCTGAAACTTCTTAGTGACAAGGTTAATCAAGTTTTTCCAGTTCTGTTCTAATTCTTGTGGATTCAGCCTGTTGTCATTGTATCCAGCAAATATTGTTAATTCATTTAGGCGCTTTGGTCTGTATTGCAAAACGGTTTCAAACAGATCATGAAGCGTTGCACCGCGGTAGGAGTGAATTGTTGATTTACGAGAGCTGGTTTGATATATTTGGCCCTTGAAGTCCCGATAACTAGTTTCTGTGAGAATTCAGGGATGCGTCTTGCCTGAAATCGCGGCATCTACCTGAAACACAGACAACTAAGGCAAGAAAGGAAGCTTTTTGGGGTGATTTATGAATACTTTCACTTAGGATTTAAAATTGCTTAGGCAAAGACGATGGAAAAAAAGGAGTGGTACAACTTGATGTCGATTTGGAGGTCGATTCACCAGTTCACTCCTTCTTGCGTCTAGTTACGCCAGGGAAATTTCACTCGCCTACGGCTGGGACGGCGAGATTTGGTAAGATAACCAGAAGAGGAAAGCCCAGCGAGCATATGATATGACAACTACAAGCGGTAAATTTGAACAAATAAAGACTATTTAATAAGTTTATCACAACAATTAGGCTATTTCATGGATTGAAAAACGATGAAAGAAAGGATGATCGGTTACCAAGCCGGCTAGAAAGACGGATGACTTAGGATAGGAAAATAGGTTGATTGGCCTGCTGCTTAGACGGATGGATGATGTATTGCTAGGTAGATGGCTTAATAGACAAACAAATTTGAACAAATTAGAATGGATAGACTGGTTGGATGATTAATTTTATAGATTGTTCAATTGCTGATTGGATGGGTGAACGGCTGAATGAACTGACGTTTGAAACATTTGATGAACGGATAACGGTAAAACGAATGGATGGCCGGAATGATTGCTAGACGGACACCGGGAGAGATGAAAACATTCATGGATGTAAAGATGAATCAATAGCCGGACGATTGTGCTCATGTGTAACTGAATAGGCGGATGGCTGGATATAATGATGACTCATAGTATGACTGGCTGGAAGCATAGGTTGTCAAATGGAGGGATGACTCGACGGGTGGCCTAATGATTTGGTTGCAAATGGATGGCTTCATAGATGGATGATTTCATGGATGGTCCAGAATGATGATCTTTCCAGAAATAAGGATTGACAGGTTGATGATCTTTCATGATTATATGGGCGGTGGTGCATGGCCGTTCTTAGTTAGTGGAGTGATCTGTCTGGTTAATTCCGATAACGAACGAGATTTTGATCATCTAAATAGTGCCATTC